AATTAGGGCTCGAACTCTGATGAGAAAGCCAATTCGGGTTTGTCGCACGGTGTTAGGAGCGATGCTTCCGTGCCCTTTGTTCTCGATTCTTGCACCACCACCAGAACACGGGCGCGCCAGCCCTCGATGAGCATGGCACATGCCCCCGAGGCTCACATGGCCTCGGGGACACTGGAAGCCCTCCTCGGCGCGTGGACGTCGTTGCGCCAGCGCAATAGGGCACTCGCTGCAACCAACGCTAAAACTGTGCCCGCCTTCTCGCGCCCTCCTCCCATGTAGCCCTTGTCACCCTCCTCCGCTCACCGCCTCCTTTCCTCCTCTGCAACTCTCTCATTCTCCATCGTCGGTCGCATCCCCATCTTCCTGCCCATCTTCCTCATCACCCTCTTCTGCGCCCCCCCGCCCTTATCCACCTAATCCCCCGCGTCGCCCCCACTCTCCGCCCCCATCTCCTCATCCACCTCTTCCCCCAATGCGCTCCCCTATCCCCATCCGCCCACTGCCCCCCCGAATACTTCCCCTGGCCTGAGTTGTATGACCCCCCCCCCCCCCCGTTCCTCATGATTCCCACCGTGCTCCCTCGTCCTCCGCCCCCTCATCGCACCCCACCCCCTATCAACCTTTACCGTCGCACCCCCCACCCCCGCATCCCCCTCCTCCTTATCCCCCCCCTGCCCCCTTCCCCCCGCATCCTCACCCCCCTCACACCCATCATCAGCATCACCGTCGCCATCATCATCATCGCCATCATCGTCATCATCATCAGCATCAGCATCATCAGCATCATCATCATCATCATCATTCTCATCATCATCAGTATCATGATAATCGTTCTTAGCGCCATGCCAGCGCCTATTGCCATCAGCACCGCCATCCATCTCCACGCCTTCCCCGCCCTCCCCCTCGTCACACCCGCCCGTTCCACGTCCTCTGCCTTGTCCTCGTCCTGCCCCGCGTCGTCGTGCCATTGCTTCCGCTACCCCCACACACACCACCCTGGCACCGCACCATCCTCGACCATATGCCCCCCAGCCTCATCGCGCAACTTGTCTCGTCGGTCCCCTCCTCCCCTCCACGTTCCTCGTCGCACTCCCTTGTAATGATCCTGCGCTTCCACCTCAGTATGATTATCTTCGTTATGCCCCACACCATCATCTTATCTCGCATGCGTATCCCACCCCATGCCATCCACAACCTGCCCGCCGCATCTTACGCAGTGTCCCACTCGGCATTACCAGCCTATCCTTCTCCAACCTTCCCCTCTTCAGCATTGCCATCATGGCCACCACCATCAATCAGCGTCATCGCTATCGACATCTCTACGCCATCATTGATAACGCCTGCAACGCCTAGAGCGCCATCAAACCGCTATTTGATCCCCCCCCCCCCCACACGCACACACACACACACACACCACACAAGGAACACACACACACCACGAACACCAACACACACAACACACACACACACACACAACACACCACACACACACACCACACACACAACACACACACGCACACACACACACAACACCCCCACACACACCACACACACACACAACACCAACCCCCCCCCCCCCCCCCCCCCCCACCACCCCCCCCCCCCCAACACCCCCCCCCCCCACCCCCACCCCACAACCCACCCCACCCCCCCCAACCCCCCACCCGCACCCACCCCACCCCACCCTCATCCCCTCCGCCTCGCTAAGCCATCCGGCCGATTGCCCTCCTCCTACTCATACCCTCCTCATCCCCCCCCCCCTCGCTACCCCTGGCTCCCTACCACCGCCACCACCACCCGCACCACATCCGCACCCCCCTCCTCCTGTCGATCCGACCCTACCCTCCTCATTTTCATCCCGCTTGTCTCCCCCTCCTGATCCACGCCAGCATCCTCACCCTTCTCCTTATCACACTGATGATGCCGCTCAGCACCCTCGTCCATAATCCCACCCTTCCAGTGCCTCCCCGTATTTCTCCTTATGTCCCCCCATTTCCCCAGGCTTCCCCCCTACCAGCCCTCGGCAGACAAGCTAAGCGAAGGTTGGTTCATCAGCCACTCGTGGCGCCGCTCTCGCTGCTGCTGCTGCTGCTGGTCCTGGCCTTGGGCTTACTCGCGGGCTTTGGCTTGCCCTTGGCAACCGCTTTGGCCTTGCTCTTGGCAATCACCTTGGCGACCTTCGATGGCTTCGGCGGTGCTGGTGGCGCAGGCTCTTCAGTGCTCGAGCTCGAGCTCGATTTCTTGTGCTTGCTCTTCTTCTTTGACGCCTTGCCCTTGTCCTTGCCTTTGGTGTGATTCTTATCGATAATCGTGTTATTTTTCCTGTCCTTGTCCTTGTGCTTGCCCTTTTCTTGGTCGTTGCCCTTGTCTTTGAGTTGTTTCTTGTCGTCTTTGCCGTGCTTGTTGTTCTTGTCGTCCTTGTTGTGCTTGCCTTTCTTGTCAACCTTGTTGTGCTTCTTCTTCTTCTTCTCGTGCTTATTCACTTTTTTCTTCAGTTTCCTGTCGCCCGAAGAGCTGCTGGACGCCTTCCTTTTCCTCTTATGCTTCTTGTTCTTGGTGATGTGCTTGCCGTTGGACTGCTCAGAGGTGGGGGCGTCGGACGCATCCGACTCGCTGGCCCCGGACTCCCCTTGCTCGTCACCCTCGTCCTCCGCTTCCTCCTCGTCCTGCGGAACGGCAGGCGCCTTGTCCTCCACGATCACCTCGGTCTTCTTCCTTGCTGGAAAGGGGAGAAGACATCGAGGCGCGCGGGGGGATGCGGCTACACGCGAGGGCAGAGGGGGAAGGGCGGGGGGGTGGGAGGGCGCATCCGACCGTCTTTATTGTTGCTTTGAAGGCGAGGGCAGACGAAGGGACGGGGGGCGGGGGGGGGGGGGCGCAACTGACCGTCGGTTGAGGTTCAGCCCCAACGTCAAGCATGCTCACAGGCCGCCCGTCGATGGTAAAGTCGCGATGCCTCGCGCACTCCCATCAGCGCCATGACTGGGCGCCGTTTGCGCGGGGTTGCGGGCAAAACGTATTCCCACCAGCCCATCCAGAAGTGAGTTGTTGATATCTTGACACCGTGTAGGCGCTGCAGAAACACAGGGTTCTGCACTTCATGATTGGAGCGCAGTTGTGTCGGTCGCGCGGAGGCTAGCAATGTGCATGGATGTTTCGACATATGCGTGCACGCCCTTACCGCGTCCATGCCGCATGGGGGGGGATCCCTGCACCGCCAGGTCGACTGACCAACCGAAGTGCTTTCGTAGGCCCGTCGAGGGGCCTGCACGCGGGCGAACGGCTTAGTGCCTGCCCCCAACCTAGACAAAACGACAGCGCGCTGGGATGGCTGAGACGCCCCTTGGGACCGCCATTATCCCCCCCTGGCCCAGAGAAGGGGATCATCGATGCACGATGCACGCACCCCCCCCCATTCGGATGCACCAAGATAAGCTAACTTTTTTTTGTCGGGCTCATGGTGTGGATGCCCTGGGTCATCGCGTGTCATTCCTGAAGCTGGGGGCGCCCATCGGGAGCGACGCAACGCGAAACCAGCATGGGCTCCCCCGTAGGTGCTGTAAACAAGTTGGGCCGCTTGAGTGATGTTTTGGGAGGCCCTGAGGGCGCCTGGAGTCGTCTTGGGAGTGTTCTGGGTCGTCGGGAAAAATGTCGAGGCCCCGAGCTATCTTGGAGGCAGTCACGCGCTTCCGATGCATTTGTTGGGGCCATATTGGGCCGCGTGGGGCGCTCTAAGGGGAAGGGCGGGGTTGCGGCACGGAGCCGAATTTGATCTCTCAGCCCAAAGGCCTGGCGGGAGCACATGCTCATTGGTGAGGGCGAGGCCATGCGCATGCACGCGAGTGTGAGAATTTTTAACGCGTCGCGCGCCCCGTCAAATTTATCTAGGCGCGTCCTGATCAGGGCGCCCTCAAGTTTGATTAGCTCCTGGGTCATCCACCTCCTACTCATCGGGTCGCCGAGCTCAATCTCGAGTCGCCGATCCTCTACGCCTTCTCCTCCTCCTTTCCCTGCTGCGGCTGCTCCTTATTGCCCTTCTCCTTCTCCTTCTCCTCCTTCTCCTCCTCCTGCCCCCCCTTCCCCCCCTTCCCTCCCTGTATCCCTCCTGCCTCCAACCCCCCCCCCCCCCCCCCACCCACCCCCACCCACCCCCGCCACGCCCACCCCACCCCGTCCCTCACCGCCACCACCACCACCCACCGCCGCCACCACCACCACCACCACCACCCCACCAGACCACCACCAACCACCACCACCCAACCCCACCCCCCCCCGCCCCACCCCCACCACCCCCCCCCACCCCGCCCCCACCACCCCCCACCTCCCCCTCCTCCAACACCCCCTCATCCTCCGCCTCTTCCTCCTTCTGCTTATCCTTCTCCTCCCCCCGTCTCCTCCCTCATCCTCCTCATCGTCCCTCCTGTTCCTCTTCCTCCTCCGTCCCCGCGCCCTTCGCCTCCGTTCCATCCATTCACCTCCCGCGCGCCATCCCCCCCCTCCTGCCTGCGCATCGCCCCGTTTCGCACGGGATTCCCCCCCCCATCCCCTCAGATTGTGCAGACCTCCTGGTGGCGCTCGAGTCGCCGACCATCTAAGCCTCCTCCTCTACCTCCTCCCGCTTCTCCACCTCCTCCTCCTCTTCCTCATCGTCCTCCGTCTCCCCCGCCTCGTCTGTCATGCATCCTCCTTCCTCGTGTTCTCTAAGCCTCCTCCTCTACCTCCTCCCGCTTCTCCACCTCCTCCTCCTCTTCCTCATCGTCCTCCGTCTCCCCCGCCTCGTCTGTCATGCATCCTCCTTCCTCGTGTTCTTCCTCCTCTTAAAGGTGCGTGGGGGAGATTCTCCTAATTCAACGGCTCGCGAGCGTTGGCGGGGCGCGCGCGCTGCCGCGCTTGCGCGCGCAATTCTCCACGTCGGGCCAGCCGCGCACGCATGTGCATCCTCCCCCCTCTTCCGTTTGAAACCCTTGGTTTGTTTGAGTGACGGGGTCCTGGTGCCGAACCTCTGGAATTGCCGCTCGAAGTAGAACACGCGGCACGCCCGCTTCTCGCACTTTTTCAAGAGGCCCTGCTTCTTGGCCCAGTTGCAGTAGTTGGCCGAGTGCTCTGCGTTCATGAACATATCGGTGAGCTCGTCCTGGCTGTAAAACGAGCCCTCGCCCTCGGTCTCCGACCTCGCGGCTGAGACCGGGGCAGCGGGGCCCCCCGCCAGCCGTCTGGGCGCGAGTGGTTTAGAGGTTCTCATATGGTCAACACCGTTCCCCCCCCCCCCCCCCCTTCGGGGATGGGTTTGCCCACCCCCCCTACGCTTCGGCGGCCCCTGGGAAGGCTACGATTTGACGCTCCTCGCGAGGACAGCGGCCCCTGGGGGGGGGGGGGGAGGGGGGGGCGCGCAAGGGATTCTGAGCCACGATCGTCGCGAGGGGCGTCGGAAATAGCTCTCCCAGGTGTGGCCCAGGAGTTGCTTGAGAGGCCCCGTGCCACTCGCGGAACGCTCTCTCCAGGCCCAGGGGGAGATAGGGGGAGGGGCAGGGCAGGGGGATGATGATGATGGTGACGATGATGACGATGTTGATGCTGATGCTGATGCTCATGATGATGCTGATGATGGTGATGATGATGCTGAAGATGGCGATGCTGACGATGATGGCGACGCCGATGAGGAGGAGGCGGCGGAAGAGGAGGGGGAGGAGGAGGAGGGCAAGGAACACTGAGAGGAGGATGAGACGAGGAAGACGGAAGAGAAAACATTGTAAGGTCAGCGCCCTTCGCTCGAGTGGCTGCCGCTGGATAGGTTGGCGGGGATTCGCGAAGCGTGAATAATTCGGTTCGGCCCCAACACCCCGCCCCCAGAAGGTGCCCTTGGAAGTCTCCCCTGGACAACTGGAAGGCCCTTTGGAAGGATTGAACATGGGGCCAGGACGGTAGATGGTGATTTGGGGTGAATGCGCGAGGAGTCGTCCTCCCGCCTGCTCCTCTTCATCTTCCCACTTGTATTCTTTATCCTCCTCGTCCTCCGCCTCCTTCTCATCATTGCCCTTCTCCTCATTGTTCTCCTCGGTCTCTCTCCGCCCTTCGCCCTCCGCGCCCCCCCCCCCCCCCCATCGCCGCGCCCCCCCCCCCCCCCACACACACACACACACACCCACACCACCCACACCACCCACCCCACCCACCCCACCCCGCCCCACCCGCATTATTGCCCCCCGTCTTCTCCGCGCCGTGCCCTCCCAAGTGTTCCAATTCCACCGCCAGTTTTTAGAAGCCGTGTGACCACATCTGCTTCCTTGCCCGTAAGACAGCCCCCGCCTGGTCGAAGCTGCACTCCGCCCTCTCCCACATGTCCCTGAGGTTCTTGAGCACCTTCGGGTGGAGGGCGGGGTGCATATGGCATGGGTTGTCCTCGTCCTCCCCCTTCTCATTATCCCTCTCCCCCTCTCCGCTCCATCATGCCCCTCCCCCTCTCACCCTCCCCCCCTCGTGTTTCTCCTCTTCCTCCTCATTCTTCCCCCTCTCCCCCTTCTCCCGCCCCCCCCTCCTCTTCCTCCCCATCCTCCTTCTCCCTCTTGCCCTCCGCTTCTTTATCCTGTCTCCCCCCCCCCCCCCCCCCCCCCCCCCCCTTCTCATGCCCACTCTTGTTCCACTCCTGGTCCGCCTCCTCGTCTCCCTCGCCCTCGCCAGGATCAAGGCCAGCGTCGCCATCGCCATCGCCATCATCATCCTCGTCAGCGCCACCGCCATTGCCACCGCCATCATCACCATCATCATCGTCATCATCTTCATATGCAGTGCCAACGCCATCCACGTCACCATCACCATACCTACCAACACCACTACCACCATCATCACACTCATCATCACTTCCCCCTCTCCCCTTGTCGCCATCCCCCTCATCATGCTCATCCCCCACATTTCCCTTCGTCTCCTCATCCCCCATCCCTTCCCCCTCCTGCTCCTGTTCAGCTGCTCATCCTCCGCTCCCTTCCTCCTCCTTATCCCCCTCTTTTCCTCGGGTGTCAGTGTCCACTCTGCGCCCCTATCACCTTGCGAGTGTGTCCACTACGATAACGTTCGATGAACTGCGTGCCCTCCTCGGATACAGATTTCCTTCCATTCGTCACGTCCTCAAGGTGGCGAGTAAACATTCTGTCCCGAGCAGCCTCCTCGCGCAAATCCGCCTTTGACTTTGGCCCGCGTTTCTTCCTTCTCATCGGGTTGTCGACGTCGTCCTCGGGCAAGCCGAGCATCCAGCCAGAAACCTCGCCAGGACGCACCAACCGTTGCCAGAAAGGCCTCCCGGAGAGGCTGTCAGCCTTGAGCCAGAAAGGCCCTACGAGAGTTGAAGGCGGATAAGGAACGCGAGGCTTTGATAAAGGACCCAGGGTTGCCAGAAGGAGGAATGGGAGGAGGGGGGGAAGGAGAAGGAGAAGTGGGGGAGAAGAGCGGACAAGAGAGGGGAAGCACGAAGAGGAGGGAGGAGGGAAGAGGGAGGAAGAGGACGAGGAGGATGATTGCACTCGGGGCGGTCTGGTCGACGCGCTCGGGCGCACCCCGCTTCGAAGAGCGCAACAACTCTGGCATGTTTTTTTTTTTTGGGGGGGGGGCTGTGCAGTGAAACGCTGGCGCGAGCTCGTTCGATGTGCTATGGTCCCATTTCTCTTCTTCTGCTTCTCCATCTCCCGTCGACCTCCTCTCCTTCTCCTCCTTCTCCTCCTGCCGGCCTCGTCCTCGCCCTAATCTTCTCCTCCTCCGCATCCTCCTCCCTCCTCTTGTCGCCCCGTCCTGCGCGCATTATGGTAGTCGTCCCTCCTCTTGTCGCCCCGTCTTGTCGTCGCGTCGATGCGCGACAAAGCCCGCGCGCATGGGGCCTTTGAATCTTATGCCCGCCAGCGCTCTTCAACGCTCGGGTTCTGCCCTTCTTTGTTGCGATGAATGCCTGGTACTTTGCTATGCCATGCCGTGCTTTGCTACACGTCTTTCACAATGATGCACACAATGCCGCTATGCTGTGCTGTGCCACGCAGTGCTGTGGGGCGTCGGTGCAAGAGAGGCCCACGGTGCCACTAGAATAGGAAACTAAATGGCTGCATCATCAAGCTAGACACGGTGCTGAGATGCTGTGTTATGTCATGCTAGGCTTCTCTATGGTGTATTGTGCTGCGGTAGGCTTCTGAGCATACGGTGCTACGCAATGAGTTACCTATGAGATGCAAGCAAGCAAGAATCACTGACGTGTCCGACACCCTCTGTGGATGCCCACTGGGGCCCACAAGAAATGCATCCTCTCCACGCTGAGGACGACCGCAGCCTCACGGCTGGGTGAACCCCTCTGGTTCGCATAAAAGTCGAGTACATCATTGTAGACTCAGAATTGCAACATCAGCGGCCGACACGAGGCGGTCATTGGCGGGGGCGTCACTGGCAGGATGTACTTCCAGCGGCGGCGATATGAACCCGAAACAAAGAATGCGAGACCTCGCGAGAAAGGGAGGGGCGCCCCATCGGGCTGGGGAGGGGAGCAAGGACATGCAGGATCCCATGCGGCGCCGAGCCCATGCGGACGATTGGACTAAAACCCGAACCAGACACACTGGGCCCAAAACCGTTCGAGCCCCGTAACCTCCTAAGACCCAAAAGATGCACGCCACAAGAACCCGTGGGCCACGCGAGGTTTCTCGGAACCGAGGGTGTCGATCCTGCCTTAGTTCGCCGTGAACCCCCTGTCATTCCGAGACAACCGTGCCACAGGGAGAATTATTGCTTGTTGGGTTGGGATCCGAAGCAGAGGGCGCTTACGCGAAGTGAGAAACACACCAACCAGACAAGCACACAATGCTGACGAATGCGTTGACGACCTGTTTCTGAAAACGCATGCGGCCCTCAAGCAAATGACATTCAGTTTACGTGGTTGATGGAAACATTTTCAAACAGCCGTGGCGTTGGAATTTAAGCGGCACCGCGAACGGTCCTCATGTCTGAAATGCAATCGGCATCAGTCTTGCTTTCGCTAGTGTCATCATCAGCCGTGCCTCGCTGGCTGCATCGACGGCGGGGGAATACCAGCATGCATCATCAGTCGCGCTGCTGCTAGCGTCATCATCGCCCTCGGTCGTTTCGGCACCATCGGCATGGAATACGTTCGCCCTCGGCCTGGTCGGAATGCGAACTCTGTCCACATGCGCTTGTGACCCAGCCGCGCCCCAGACGCTGCCCACTAGCTCTGCAACGCGGCACTGCCTCCAGCTCTCCTCGGCTGCCGCAACTCGACGTAGCCTCGCCGTCGAGCTCTGCGACAGCTGTTTTGGCAGGATCGACTGGGCTGCGACATGTGCGTGCTTGTGGGTGTCCATCGTGCGTGCTCTGCTTGTCTGGAGTTACCTGTGTTGTCATTGTATGTCTGCGCGTGTCTGTGGTTGTCGGTGTTCGTCTGCGTATGTCGTTGTGTGTCTGCGTGGGTCTGCATTTGTCTGCGTTTGTCTGCGTCTGTCGTTGTGTGTCTGCGAGTGTCTGCACATGTCTTTGTGTGACTGTGTTTGCCTGCGTGTGTTGTCTGCGCGTGTCAGTATTTGTCCGCGTGTGTCGTTGTTTGTCTGCGCGTGTCTGCGTGTGTCGGTATTCGTCTGCGTGTGTCGCTGTGTGTCTGCGTTTGTCTGCGTATGTCTGCGTTTGTCTGCGCATGTCTGCGTATGTCTTTGCGTGTCTTTGTTTGTCTGCGTGTGTCTGCACATGTCGTTGTTTGTCTGTGTTTGTCGTTGTTTGTCTGCGCGTGTCTGCATTTGTCAGCGTTTGTCTGCATGTGTCGTTGTGTGTCTGCGTGTGTCCGCATATGTCTGCGTTTGTCTGCTCCTGTCGCTGTTTGTCTGCGTATGTCTCTGTATGTCTGGGTGTGTCTTTGTTTGTCTGCGTATGTCTGTGTTTGTCGTTGTTTGTCCGCGGATGTCTGCCTTTGTCTTTGTGTGTCTGTTTTTGTCTCTGCTTGTTTGCGAATGTCTACATGTGTAGTTAGTTATTTGCTTGTGCGTGCCATCGCACGTCTATGTCTGTCGATGTTTAAGTGCGCGTGCGTTGTCGCGCGTCGCCTTTAGATTGCGCGCATGCTCGCGACAAATATTGCGCGCGTTTTTGCTGTAGTCGCATGTTCCGCAATGCGTGGCCATCGCGTCGGCGAGCGTGT